TGTTATCATAGTTGTGAAGGACCTTGTGAGAAAATCTCAGTTCCTTTCTTATAAACCCTTTTTTTCAGAGGTCAGTCACTCTGGTTGACTTGACCTCATCTCACAGTTATGTTAGTGGTATCAACAAGAGTCAAGAGGATTAGATATCTTTGTTTCTTATTTGTTGGGACACCTTTCAAATGGCCCATTTATGATCGAGCTAGTTTGGCTACTCCCTCCAGTTTTCAAATACTTGATCTTTTGGACACTGATGTGGTCTACCAAAAATAGCTTTGACCAATGAATATCTTAACAAATTTATGCTTCTTTTATAGTACTTCTCAAGACGAATCTATGCATATTTGATCACCAGGTTTCTGAATTAAATACTTTATAAGTTTTTTGTAATCAAAGAAGGCGGGCCTGGTGCAAGCGGTAGAGTCTTACCGCCTGTGACCGGAAGGTCCGGAGTTCGAGTCGCGGTCTCCTCGCATTGCACAGGCGAGGGTAAGGCTTGCCACTAACACCCTTCCTCAGACCCCGCACAGAGCGGGAGCTCTCTACACTGGGTACGCCTTTTTTTTTATTTGTAATCAAAGTTTTAAAGTTTTGACTCAAACCTTGTCCAAAGTGTCAAATGAAGTATTTGCAAACCGGTGGAAGCACATGAGTTCTAAACTGTCTTCACTCTATCAGTCACCTCACAAATTGTTGGTTTGGCTGTGGTCACTATAAAATTGCTTAACAATATTTTGTATGTTATTCCTGAATATCAGGACATATGTAACATCTCAATGAGAATGCTCTAAGCATTGTTAATGCTTAAAAATATTTTTTATGTCAATCCTGGAGATCAGGACAGGACATATGTAACATCTCAATGAAGAGAATGCTCTAAGCATTGCTAACTTTTGTGGTCTCATATTTCCAGTGATCGGAGTCTAACACTCTACGACCTGCGCATGTCATCTCCAGCTAGAAAGCTAATAATGAAGGTCAGTTGATTCTCATCTTTGGAATCCTGATAAATGTACATTTTCTTCTAGCTTCTATTTTTGTACCTACTGAATTGTATACAGTGATGTATGCTTTGATTATGCAGACAAGGTGCAATTCAGTATGCTGGAACCCTAGAGAGCCCATGAACTTCACTGCTGTAAGATTCAAATTTATTTTTATATTTACTTGAGCTGTCACATAATTCTGACTATCATATTATAAATATTTGTTAAGTCTGCAACTCCAGCATTTAGGAACTGATGTTGTGTTCCCTTTTGTCACTAGGCAAATGAAGACACAAACTGTTATTCGTTTGATGCTAGAAGGCTGGACGAAGCCAAAATTGTTCACAAAGGCCATGTTTCAGCAGTGTAAGTGTATTTTTCTGCAAAATTACCTTTTGTGCTATTTATTTAGTAGGTGTGGCTGTAAAGATTTATTATCCTGACTAGCATATATTTCTTATCAATATGAAGAGCATATGAATATTGAGGAAAGTTAGAAGAACCTATATGGATATTTCCCTTGCTGGCATATATCTCTTATCAATTTGAAGAACATTGGAAAAAATCATAGGGTACAAAGAGAAAATAGAAACTGGATTTGTCACTTAATTCTGTGGTGGGGTTGCTCCATTGTCGTACAGTTGATTATTGATCAAACATGACTTAAATAACCTTTTGAAGTTGCATTAACTCATATGTACAGAAGATATCATTTCATGTAGTTGATCTGTACTTATGACATCGGTAGGGTACACGTTTAGTTTCTTCTAATTTGCGGGTCATCTTACATGAATTTGGGTTTTCAGGATGGATATTGACTACTCTCCAACAGGGCGTGAATTTGTTACTGGTTCCTATGATAGAACAGTATGTCTACTCCTAAAGAACTTACAATGAGTTCATACTCTTTGTTATTTTTATTCAGTGATGTATATATAATACTTTTTGCAGGTAAGGATTTTTAATTATCTTGGAGATCACAGCAGAGAGATTTACCACACCAAGAGGATGCAAAGGTTCTTCTTTATTACTACAATATTTGTCAGTCGCCACCTTTTGTTTCTAGTTACTGTTGGTGTCCTCATTTTTAGACCAAAGTCCAGACTGGGTACCTTATGCTTAACTCCACTTGCATTAACCCTCAAAATCTCTATGCTGTTAAATTGAGTGGATTGTTTAGTGGGAGGTCCATCTATGTTGATATAGATCTCCAAGTGGGGCATGGAGCATTCTATAACTGAGTTTTGTTTTCTAGATAGTTTCAGGAAGTAGTTTGGTATGAATGAGTTCAGATTTCGTTTTATGCATCTTTTTTCTGAAAGATAATTTCCTGCTATTTACCACAAACATTATTGTAAGATTCTAATCAATTTACCATATTACTTTGAAGGGTGTTTTGTGTGAAGTACACCTATGACGGGACCTATCTAGTCTCTGGCAGTGATGATACAAATCTTCGGCTGTGGAAGTCCAAAGCTTCGGAACAACTTGGAGTTGTAAGTTTTTCAATACCACTCAGTGTTTTCAAGTTGCTGTTCTGTTTTGGCATGCTTGTTGCCTGCTGGTGTTCAGAGTCATGCTGAATTCAGGTGGTAGCTTTTTTGGACAAGTACACAGGCATCTGTCTTCTCACTGTAGATCAGTGGATGCTCCATGACTTAGCAGTATTGCAATTGCCAACTTTGTATGCCCTAATTTACTTCGCGGAGCACCTGGATTATTACTATAGATGGTCTTTAATATGTATTTTTTCATATCCATTAAGGGATGCAAGCGGGCTGGATTGTACAGACCATCTTTTTGGAAAAAAAAGTTCTGCCTTTCCAACCGCGCACAGCCAAGTTCTTACAATAGTTTTCAGCCCATCAGCTAATCAAACTCCTAAGGGAAAAGAGAACACCAAAGGAAAGGAGAAAAAAATCAAAATCAAATTCTTTGTACAGACCATTTGACCCATTGTATAGTTGTTTTCCTATACCATTAATGCCAAGAGTCATAAGTAGACAGTGAACTAGCAGCTAAGTGGGATTAGACAATGAGGCGGCCGACAGGCTTCCTTTGATCATGATTGGTCATTGCTTGGCTTTGTTTGGTCAGTTGAATTTATTACCGGATTATCCTGCTTGCCTGAAAACGGTTGCATTAGCATTTTTGGTACTCGGATCTAGTTTGTATTTGGTCTTGTCTGCATGAGGTCATAGTTTGCTTCAAGAACACCTAGCGAGGAACATGTATGTGGAGGCAAAGCAAATGCTCTTTTTTTTTCATTTTACTTCACTGAGAAATTCTGTTTTTTTTTGGCATCATGTATGCTTAGTTTAGCTTTTGAGGATTAATACTTGAATGATTGAATCCGTGTAAACTGATGAGGGGAACATGTGTTATTGTTGTGAATAGTTGCACTTATTGTTCCCGTATTCGTTTTGTGTCTCTGTCATTAACTTATGGATACGTATCCTGGAAAATGACTGTACTACTTATCATTGATGCCTTAGGATTTTGTTGTTAGTTTGTAGGCAGTAATTGTCATCAGTTGTACTCCTGACCATTAATGGAAGAGTTTATGAATGCTTTGCTGTTGAATTCTTGTATGTGACTGAACAAATCTCTCTTGCAGCTTCTTCCACGGGAGCGTAAAAAGCAAGAGTACCAGGATGCTTTGAAGGAGCGGTACAAGCACCTCCCAGAAGTCAAGCGGATTGTAAGGTAAGCTAGTTTTGCCTCCCGGCATGCATGGGGAAGTCATACCTTTTTTTTTTATTATGTAATCACAAGTAGTTGATGAGCTAGCGTCTCTTACCGTCAGTTTGCTAAATAAAAAGTTCCATCATGCATGGCTTTGCTGTTAATTATTACAGGCACAGACACCTGCCGAAGCCAATCTACAAGGCAGCCAACCTACGGCGCACGATGATCGAAGCTGAAAGCCGCAAAGAGGAAAGAAGGCGAAAGCACAGCGCTCCGGGGAGCATGGCTGTGCAGCCCTTCAGGAAGCGAAGAATCATCAAAGAAGTTGAGTAGGCATGCAGTTGGGAGTTTGTTTTGTTGAAAGCGGTGTTGAGATGAGAATGCATGCGTGTTTGCCGTTGAGAGTAGAGCTCTAGTTTTGCACCCCACCCCTAAATATATGTTTTGTATTGGTTTGAGTATTATTTAAAATTTAAAACCAAATATTTGTGGTGGGCCATGCGTGATAAGATCTTTGCAACCGTGAGCAATTCCGAACTGAAGGTATAGGGCTTATTCTCAGGGAAACTGACGCCTGATGGCTGAAATCATTGGGCATTCAGTTTCAGTGAACTGGACTACTGGAAAGACACGGGCATCATCATCTGGAACGTAACAGCAAATAAAGCTGGTCCAGCGATATATCTGTCGTGAAGTACATTCATGTTTTTGAATTGCATGAGTATGGACACAATGATGAGATTCGTTCACATGAATCCATCTTTATGATTATATTTTTTTGCGTGTACACACACAGGCAAGGCATCATTCCAAATTAAAAGTCGTTTTGGCTTTTATAGGTATTGCTATGTATCTAGAGTTCTAGACATAGCTTAGTATCTAGATGTTGCATAACAAAAGCTATGTATTTAGACTAGAAAAATCAAAACGACTTAAGAATAAGATAGCTCACATACGCATGGTTATTATTCATATCAATATAATCCGATGTGTTTGCACAGGCGTACGTACATCTCGGTCGTCTAATAAGCAGGAGCATCAGTACTTCAGTAGCATACAACAGACGCAAGAAGAAATTAAGAAACCCTCAAAGAGCTAGCTTAGCCTGTGTGTATATACACCAGCAGGGAGTCGAGGGCAAAAAAAAAAAAAAAAAAAAACGGGACGAGAGAAATGATCTGGATCCGTACGTACGTAAGGTATGCAATCCATGATACACTAGCAGGCCGGAGTCTATATATACTACACATCCGTACCGTACGGACGGACTTACTATTGTACATGCATGTCGACGAGTGGTGGTTGATATTGTCACCAGAAGAGATGAGATCATCCGGCGGCGGTGGCGGTGGTGGCCGCCGCCGTTAGGATGCTTGGTACGCCTTGCTTGTGCAGCTCGGACATGACGCTGTCGAGCGACGGCGGCTTGAGCCCCAGGGGAAGCGGCAGCCATGGCTTCACTAAAACATCTCCAATGGCTGCGTCGATGCTCTCCTTGGACTGCATTGCATTTGTATGCATATTCAGATCAATCCACCACAAGATCAGTTGATTAATTATTCAGTACAGTTAATTAACACATATATAAAAATAATGCTTGCATCGCATTTGGATCCCAAAATTAATGTGGTGGTAATATAATTACCGGGTGCGTGTCGAGCTCAGGCTGCAGTTCGGCGAGCTTGCTGCTTGGCGGCGGAGGCGGTGGCGGCGGAGGGACCATCGCCGGTCTGTAGATGGGGTGTGGCACCATCCCCGGCACCGGAAACCTCGGCAGCTGCACCACCGCACCGGACGGACATGTATCACTATCATCAGTACACATACGGCAGAATGCAGCTAGGATGATGATGATGCATGGACGGACGGAGCTAGGAAGCAGAGTTGATTACGTAGTTTACATACCATGGCGGCGGCGGGCGGCGGCACGCACGGCGTCCCTTGCGTCACTGCGGCTGCCTGTGGACCCCATTTCCTGGCCGCCTGCATCAGCCACAGATGGAATGGAAGGAAGGAGACAAGCAAGGGTAAATAAACAATCAAACACAGTAAATACAATTGCATAATAGTAAGTAAAGTAATAACACGAACAGAGCAGAGGTACGTAGTAGAGAGCCAAATTAAGCAAGCTGCCAAAAAAAGCGAGAGTCACATGCATGCACTAGCACTGCTGAGTGCTGACTGCTACTCTGCAAGTCCGCAACAGCAAGGGAGGGAGGGATGGAGATGGAGCTGAGGTCCAGGGGAGCACCGAGCACGCACATTGTACTGCTGGTGCCAGAACGCCGGGTCCACGGCCGGCGGGTGCGGGTGTGCCCACGGCGGCAGCGGCCGGGGCGGCGCCAGGTGCCGCGGCCACACGGGCAGCATCGGAGTCGGAGTCGGAGGCGCTTCAGCCGCGGCAGCGTGGGGCGGGTGGCCCCACACGTGCAGCGGCCGGCAGAAGGGCGGGGGCGCCGGCGGCGGGAACCCGATGGTCGGCACCACCCACGGCCGGCTGGCGTGTGGTGCGTCCGTCCTCGGGGCGCCTACTCCGCCGCCCGCCGCCGCCGCCGCCGCGTACATGTGCCGCTTCTGCGCCCAGGTGGCGGCCTCCGCCTCCCGCGCCATCAGGTGCTTTCTGTGCGACCGGTACTTCTGCAAATTTACCAACTCCATTAGCATCGGCTGCTGAGCTCCCATACAGATGCAAGTATGCATCATCAATGCATGCATGCATCCATCCTTTATAGCCTTTATTTAATAGCAAATCACCGTGCATGCCATGCGAAATGAAGTAATGATGACGACAGACAAATTCTTTCTTTTTTGAAAGAATCAGACAAATCCTTTCTGTCCATATATATATAATAGTACACTAAATTGCTTTTTTAGTTGTACTACTAGTTAATTATCTAATAATCACCGAGTATTATTGTCTGAAAATCCAATCACCTGAAAAAGTACTTGCTCTTACTGCATGCCTTTATGGGAAAAATGAAATATGCTATTGATGTGTGGACATGTAATATAATGTGTTTAGGGTTTGTTTGGCTTAGCTAGGAGCTGTGAAAAAAAAAACTGTTTTGAGCTGTAAGTTGTGAAAAAGTTAATGTGAGCTATGTGCTATAGAAAAACTGTAAGCTATTTGGGTTGAAACAAGTATAAAACCTACCCCTCTCTTGAAACAGTTGTGAAACAAAAACTCTATTTTCACTCATTTCGAAAACTAGAAAGCCAAAAGCAGGGCCCAAGATGCTTCCAAATTTAGATTTCACCCCCATTTGGTTGGCTTTCTGCTTTTTGATAGCACAAGTATTTTTATAAGCTCAACCAAACACAGCCTAATTAAACATCGTAAATTTTCATCAAATTTATGGTTACGTACTCATGCAACATCATCAATACGACATAACATTTATGTGAGACAAGAAGATGGTGCCAACCTCAAGGTACGGCTACTATTATTGCAACTCGATCTCGTCGGCAGCATAACATGCCACTACCAGTAGAGTAGAGTACCACTCATTTGAAAACAGATCGATCGATCGAGTTGGGTTTCCATGCAAAGCCATATGGCCAGGCACGACACTAAGAAGCACGGTCCGGTCCGGCTCCTATCGTGCTCGTGTCTGGCACGGCCCGGTCGTAGGCCATGTCTGGGCCGCTATGTCGGCCCGTAGTGCCGGCCCAGGCACTGCACGAATAATGGGCCGGTACGATGCGGCCCGATCAATTCTAGCCATCGGATGCTTTCAGAGGATTCCATAGCCGTTGGATAAGAGTATATAGCACCAAACCCTAACTCCCCCAAGGATTCCTCCCAGTAGCCGTCATCTCTCGATCTCTCTTGTCCTCCACGCGTAGTCACGCCCTCCTCCCCGTGTCCGACTCCTCCCGTCCCTACAGTCCCGCCTAGCTCCTCCTCCGGTCCTCCCGAGCTCCCCACTGCGGCTCCCCATGGCGACTCCTAAATCCGTGCTCCCATCCTTCCCGTCTGCTCGACGGCGCGGCAACCTCTGTGCGGTGGCGTGGCCGGGGTGTGCGTTTTTTGGCGCCGGCGCTCGGCCAGGGCGCAGCGGCACGGCGGCGGCGCGCGGCAGGGGCGAGCTCGAGTGGTGGAGACACGTCTGCGACGGTGGCGCGTCCGACGCGAGTGCGGCTCGACAGCGGCCATAGCGACGGGCCGTCGTGCCCATCGGCACGGCACGACTGAGTCGCCATAGGGCCGTGCCTAGGCCGGGATGCCAGCACGACGGTACTACGTGGCACGGCATGGCAGCGCCGCCGTGCCCCGTCGTGCCGTGCCTCGTTGTGCCAGTGGGGTGCCGTGCTTGGGGCGCCCGATTGGCCATGTATACATGCAAACTAGCTTACTCATCAGTGTGTTGAGTACTAGCTAGCTCCATCTATCTATCTATCGCCATGTTCGTTTGGCTTATAAGTCGTACTTTTTTCAGCCAACAAACAATATTTTTCTCTCACAACAAATCAATCAACAGTACTTTCAGCCATGGCTTATCAGCCAAGCGAACAGGGCATATGCATCCAAGAGTACAGCAAGCTAGGCATAGGCACTGATCGATCATGAGTTTATTTATTCTAAAATTAATTTCATGTGTGTTGCACCCATCATATGCATGCATGGGCATGAGCTAGTTGTTAGTACTACTTAGCTTTTGGTGGTTAATTAACTGATGATGGTCTTATATTGTAGTAGTAACGAGTAAATAAAAGTAATATACGTAGACTACACAATCATGGGCATATGTTTGTGGAAACTGGAAAGTCATGTGTTTTGTGGTGCCTAGTCGGGAGGTGACACAGCATATGCGGTGGGCCGGGCCCGGTCGGGACAGCAGCAGCAGGCCCACAAGCAGGCAAGCAGGCAGGCACAGGCAGCTAGTAGTGCCTGTACCGGTACCGCCGCTCTTGGCGTCTCCTCTTTGCATGGTTTGAGCAAAGGAATATATGCAGTCCAATCCAGTCCAACAAGAAGCTAAAAACCATGCTGGATCGCATGCATGCCAAAACCATTGACAATTTCTCATGCTGCAGTGTAGCTTATCTATCATGCACTGCATGCTTTGCTAGCTTTGCCTTTGCTTTGTTGCTTTCCTTTGTTTTGTTGTGTACTGCGTCTGCACCTGCTGCTGCCTCCTCGCTCCTGCTGCAATATAATGCATGCCCACAACCTGTATTTTTTTTCTTCAAAAAATATGCTTTCACTTTTACCAGCTCAGATCATGTACTACTAGCTGTGCTAGCTTTGGCAGCTAGAGCCAGCAGAGAGCCCGGTAAAATATGCATGCATGGAATGGATTCACATGACCAATAGTTCGTTCCCAGTGCAAGATGAAAGGAACCCCAGAACAACGAAGATTCACATGATGCCTATGTGTAGCAATGTACTGCAATGGTACTACCATTGGCATGGGCAATGCACCATATGTGTCCCCCTCCCCCCAGATCTGGTTGTCCCATATCACTGTATATCCCTAATAGTAATAGTAATATGTTAAAGTCAAAATGGATTATTCCTCTGTTCGTAATATTTTACTTCCCACAATAATGTCGATCCCCACCACATCTCTTTCCTGTCCATGAACTGAACTCATGCTCATATATATTAGTTAGAATATCATCCATGGTATATATGTTGATGTCCGATTCTAAGATGCATTAATTGGAACAGATGACACGATTGTTGCATACATCTCTAAGTTGCAAGTGATCCATGTCACCATACAATAAATTGTATTATGTTGCAACACTTACGGACATGTTTGCTAGTTACTATAAAATTACTACTACTTAATATGATATATATATATATATATATATATATATATATATATATATATATATATATAGGCACACATAAGATGATATATCACAAACCACTACTTAGACGCTAAAGATGTACCATTTACTAGCTTAATTATGTGAAACTTTGCATATATCATTGTAACCAGCAGGAATAATTCAAGTGTTGCTATGGAATTCATTGAGACTGATTTTTTATTTTGAAACTTGTTAATTATATGTATTTCATCCATTATGGTACTTCTTTATTTATTTGGAGCAGTTAGCATTTCCTTTGAAAATCAACCTAATGTATATAATAAGTTGATGAGTAGTAGTGATTGTATGTTGACCCTTTGAGATATATAAGATGTATATATACCTGGAGGTGGCTGGCAATGTTGTGTCTTGTGAGGCAGTCCATGCCCATGATCTCTAGTATCCGGGACGGCACGGCCTTGTCGATGCCCAGTTGCTCCACCGCCTGCACGAACCTCCGGTGCAGCTCCGGCGTCCAGTCCACCTGATAATAATGTAATATAATTAATTACCAGGCATATATATATGCACATATACGGATTCAGAAATATAAATTATTGTAGGCTAGAAAGTTTACTAACATCTTTTAGAAGGCTAGAAATAGAGTTCAAATGCAGAGCATCTGAGCTATGTTTCGGCATAGTGGGGCTAAAGGCTATTTGCTTGGGCTCCTTTTGCACTGCATAGCAGTGCTGTTACTGAAGATTTTGGGCTACGCCCCGGGCGGCAGCCCAGGCCCTGAATCCGCCCCAGATAGATTGATCGGGCTAATAGTTTACCCCCTCCGTCCCTAAATGTCGTCATCAGAGACAAATTGATCGGGCTAATAGTTTACCCCCTCCGTCCCTAAATAATTATCGTTCTCGCTTCCAAGAAATAATTTTGACTAATTTTATATAAAAAATATTAATATTTATGGTATATAATTAATATCATTAGATAGTCGTTGAATCTATGTTCATAATAAATTCATTTGGAGATACAAATGTTGCTCATATTTTCTATAAATCTAATCAAACTTATAGCACAGAAATAAAAAATAAAAGTTATTTAGGGACGGAGGGATTGGTACGTTACACGTACACAGCTAGCAGATGATGCATGAATGCATGTAAATTACTGAAAGAAGGAAACTTTTAACTAACTAAAAAGCTAGAAAAGGCATGCATGGGCATATGGGTGGATCGGATCTTTTTGAGATGAAGTCCAAGTAGAGACACGGCATGCATGCTATTGCTAGTACTATACGCAAAAAGGGGTGGGGTTGAAAAAAGAGATGGAGCACAGTACAACGTGGCAACGTGGGTCGTCGTTGAGCAGCTAGCAGGCGTGTAAATGTACTAGTAAATAATAAAAGTAGATTTTATCCTGGGGTGCATAATGCATGCATATGGCAGTGGCAGCTAGTAGTCTGGAGGACAAGACGGATGAGGGCTTGTACCCGGATGAGGGCGAAAAGATGAGAACACTGTCACTTGCACAGCAGCTGCTGCTGCTGGTGTTCGCTCTAGGCTGTGGTAGGATCTAGCAAGAGGCCGCCCGGTCACTGTTTGTTGTTGCTGCTGCTATATGCTTCAGCAGCTACGAATGCTTGCTTGGGGTAAATGGGGTTGGGAGATCCCGTGTCTCTCTCTCTCTCTCTCTCTCTCTCTCTCTCTCTCTCTGCGTGTTTCATTTCATGGATGGATGGATGGGATGGGATCCGATTCATCCCTGCCAAGATCGATCGATGTATCTTTGTATCCATCCGTGTGACCGACCGCAAAAAGGGAGCCTGCGTACACGGGGATTCCCATGGCTCTATTCATTGTCGCCATTGCTCTGCCCTCCCTCTCCCTGCAGGGTGTACATGAATCTAATATGTGTGTAAACCTCCATGCCTGCATGAGAGAGAGAGAGAAGAGAGCACAAATTAAAATAAAGCTGAGGTGATGATCGAGCCAGGCAATTAATGGGTCTCTCTCTAGCCTTATTTTCCGTGTTGTTATCATTGCCTGTCGATCTGCAGGCCATACCACACGTAGCAGAAGATCAGCAAAGCCCGCAGCTGTAGTACACTGTACACTTCATGTCCATGCAGCAGCTAGCTAAGCTAGGGCGTAACAACGAGCTGATCAGGTCTCCTCTGCTCTGCCACCGCCATGGATTCCATTCCCCCGTGATGATCTTCATCATCGATTCATCATGGAGTAGCAGCTCAGCGACTTTTGAAAGACGAGCTAGCGTCGCGTCGCACATCTGATTGTTCATTTCCTTCGTCTCTCTATATATCTCTGCTAGCTCCTGAAAGTCCTCTCACGTGTACGTGGCGACAAAATTAAAATTACTACCAAACTACTCCGATCCTATAATAAGCTAGCGATCGATCGGTCGATTATTCAGACTGTGAGCGATAGATATGCATGCTCAACATCAACAGCTAGCTATGGTAGGGCAAGCAAGCTAATTAAGCTAAGCTAGTACCTTTACCTTGCGCTTGCCGTGGAGTTCTTCCCTGGTGCCAGCTTCTTCTTGCTGTGGCCCTCTGCCGACGCCGACGCCGACGACTTGGTGTCGGACACGGCAGCCCCGGCACAAGAATCCTCCTCCGTCGTCTGCTTGCTGGCGGCCACATGTTTCTCATCACCACATGTTTGCTCCTCCAACAACCGCTTCTCCTCTTGTGCTACTGTCGTCACCGCCGCTAGGTGATGTTGCTTCACGTTGTCGTCCGGCACCACCGGCGCCTTGTTGTTGGCCGCCTCGTCGTCGACGTGGACTGCCGCCGGGCTCGCGGTGGCCAGCAGCAGGTCGTCCGGCGGCGGGGTGGACGAGAACTCCGCGAGGAGCTCCGTGGGGTCGACCTCCAGGTCCGGGAGGATGTCCCCGTCGGCGTCGAAGAAGGGCACGTCGCAGCTGAAGTCGATGTAGTCCAGCAGGTTGTCGTCCACGTCCACCATGGCGAAGCCGTCGCAGCAGTCGGACCCGACGCCGGACGTCGGGAACACCACATGGTGGTCGCCGACAAAGCCGCCGCAGTGCTGATCCGCCTTGCTGCTGCTAGGGCTCCGCAGCGTCGACACCCCAAGCATGGACGATATATACCCTAGTCTCTGGAGATATGTATATATCGATCGATGGATATGTGCCTATGGCTAGAGTAATAAATCCAAGTAGCCAGTATTATATATATTCTAGCTGCTTGATCTCTCGATCCGGCGGCTGGCTAATACAATTAGCTAGCTCTAGCTACAGATAGATTCGCTTATACGCGGGGGTCCGATGCACAACTCTGGCCGTGGGGTCCAGAAATTCTGATGCATGGAGGCCCTATGGCGAGCCCTCCACCGGCCGGCGGTGGGGGACTCTAGATGGGTGGACGAAACCCTCGGCAGCTAGCAGGAGGTGAAGCGACAAAGATCGATGTCCAAATAGCTCTGCAACAGAGGCTGATGGTTGAACAGGGACATGATGAGAGAAGAAGGGAAGAAGGAGCTGAAACACAGGAAGCTGGTGCACTATTTGCACGGATGAGCACTTCACAAATTTATGCCCTTTGTTGCGAGGCCCCAGGGGAAAGTTGTGTGGTGCAGCTGAGGATGGGATGGGGTTTTTCAAATCCAGGGTGCAAGAAATAATCAGATCGTGGAGACATCACAGTCTTCAATTGCACGGACTGTCAAAGTCGCAAAAAGTATCAGCACAGTTACTTCAGGCGGAGCTCGCTAGGATTATCCCGGTCCGTTGGGATTGGGAGGTACAACAGCTGGGGCTAACTCTTATGTTGTCCCCTTCCCAAGAAAGAAGAACTGGATCGCATGATAGCAATAGACACCATCAACACAAAGAACAAGGAAGGCACTATATCTTTTGCTGAGTTTGTGGAGATGATGTGCAGCCTATTAAGGTGTTGGAGCAGGTATGGCTAAATGTCCACGGTGTCCCTATAGGCTCTGCGTTGGTTCCTATCTCTCTCTCTGGGGACTATTGTTGGAGTGTCCAGTGAAGGTGGTGGTTCATCGCCAGTCAAGCCCGCATTCTAGTCTGTTTTTCCCCAAGAAGATACGCTGTGTATGGGACATTTGTGTTGGCATTAGTATCTACCGCCTATTTTTTCAAGGCGGAGGAAGACCACCGGTCTTGATCCGTCTGATGAGGACTTGTTGAGTGATAAAGATCTGGAGGAGGAGAGTGTGAAATGGAAGCTGGAAGATCCTAACTAGAGACCCTCGGGATAATAGGATGCAACAAGCACCGCAGCATACTCAAAATGTCCCACCTATGCAGCAAATCTAGTTGAAGCTTTGGACTTGGCTGTATGAGCAACTCTTGGATGAGATGCCTGCCTTAAAGTTGCTTTGGAGTCGACCTGGGACTACCGGGAAGAGTTACTCTCCACCAACACAAGAAGAATTCCTTTTTTTTTTAACTCTAATAATACTCTTTTTCTTCTGCTTTGTTGTGCCACTACCTTCGACAAAGATTGCTAGTACATTTGTCGACGCGCTTGGTGAGGGAGGAGGGCTTTACTCCGCCATTGCCTCCCCCTCGCCACCACTGGAGCTGGTGTCTCTTGCCCCTATTGATATAGGGTGCGGCCTGGACTGCTGATATATGCCCCCTTGCATGATATCAGGCCCTCTCTTTCTTCTCTTTGGTGGAGCCCCGTATCATGACGTCAGTCCCCTGCACATCGTCTGCATCTTGTTACGTGCCGGCACCCCCACACCTCATGATGTTAAGGAGGTGGCTCGGCCACATCGGCGGAGAGGAGACGCTCCGGCTTGACTCGTCGTCACCCAATGTTACTGTTATATATGTTACTATTACATATAAACATCCACGCCGACCGGGGGAGAGGCATACTCACTTCACTGGGAGAGGTAGGCGGGGAGCCTGCGCTCTCTCCACCCGGACCTAGAGAGGCGTGGAGACGCATCTGCCTGCTGCACCTCTTATTATGTCAAAGATTGTTGGAAAAGCGGGTATACCTCACCATCTAGAAAATCCCAAACTGTGGTGGTTCCCATCAAAGAATGGAGGAGCATAGTAACTTTAGAGGATGTTGTATCTTCTCCTTAAGGCCTATGTATTTTGAAAAAAGAACCTCGAATTCTCGGGTCATTTTAGGGGACGCCTAATCTTGGTAATTTCAAGCCTCCATGTTAATGCAGCGTGTAGAGCAAGCTAAGGGACGCTCTCGACAATAAGCAAGAAATTAGAAGTTATTGCTCTAGAGATATCCAATAACGGATGGAAACAATTTTATTGTTTAAGTTAGCGTCTTGGTCATGTTATAAGACCTTGGCTTTCTTTTTGGTTTTATCATTATCTGTAATTTTGGGCTGTGTACATCTACGGATGTAGAGGCCGGATGTTTATCCATTATCTAAAAAAGATGGGATTGACAGAGAAGCTAGAGAAATTAAAGATGCATGGATATATGGCGAGATGAGTTAATTGGGATAGATAGATAGATGGGCTCGTCGATATGCTAAGCAGCTAGCGGCGACGACGGACGATGGAGATCTCTATCTGGCTGATGGGCAGCTAATATATGATGGATATAAGAAGAAGGGAGCTGTATTTAGGTAGCTGCTGCAGGTGGAACGAACGAACGAGATCCAAGAGCGAGCGAGAGGGGAAAGCGGAGCGTTGCGCCGCAAGGGGAGGTCAGGAGGAAGAAGAGATGAGAGCAATGGACGGACGGAACAGCTACTACAAGACTAGTTTGGTGCGTGGTGATTTTGGAGTATTAGGGCCTGGGACTGGACAGCAGGACGCATGTCCACCACACATCAAAACCTCCTGCCTCTTGGCCTCCTCTTGCTTGCTCTCATCAGTGCAAATTATTTCTCTCTCTCATCATCTCATCTCTCTCTCTCTCCCCCACTTGCTTTATAGGGCTTGGTTGGGTCTGGGTCTCTCTCTCTCTCTCTCGTGCAGTGTCCAGTGGTATGGTGGTATCGCCAGCCAACGCCCGTCTCTTTCGATCGTGTCGCTGTGTGTACACATTATTATTGCATTGTACACACCCACCCTACACGGACTGCAAGTGCATATGGCAGACACTGCTAGCATATATAGCATGCAGCAGCATGGCTCCGCAGCGTTTATCTCTGTATACCGTATCTCAGTGCCTGCCTCTGCCGGCCGGCCGCCTCAATTTGACCATTCCGCAATTTGTCCTTTTTGCTGGGCGGAGTATATGCCGCATGTCCTTTTTGCATGCATATATAGTTATATCTAAAATTGTTCCGCAATTTGTCTGCCTCCGCTACAATCTACATCGTCTGCATCTTGTTACTGCTACCACACCTCATCAATGTTAAGTAAGGTCCACATATATAACTACCGGTATTATACTGTTATATATGTTACTATTACATATAAACATGAAGAAATACTCACTTCCTTCTAAATTGTAGATCGTTCTGGCTTTTCTAGACACATGCCTTTAATTTATTATGTCAAAGATATATAGTAAAAGTTATATGTCTAGAAAAACCAAAATAACTTACAATTTAGAATGGAGGAAGTAGTAATTTAGAGTGATGTTGTATCTTCCCTTCCTATGTATTTTGAAACTCTAAAACCTAAGTGCTCAAATAAACTTTAGCCGCCACCTAATATCTTGGTAATTTCAAGCCTCCATGTTAATACTCACAAGACGTGTTAAGAAAACATAAATTAAAATCTTAAAAAAATATTTTAAAAGGTAGAGAAGCATAGTATTATCAAAACAGTAGATTGTAATAATCATTAACACAATAGCTATTGGATTTAACAACACACACCGCTTCCATTATTATAAAAAAACATTACAATATATAGCCTCTTAAATCTATATCTCTTACAAAGCTAATAATTCACACTACAAGTTTTATCTCAAAATGCAAGACATTCACATCATCTTCTATTAATAGCCATGTCACACCACTAGCTTCCAACCTCTTAATGCAAGCTATCCACGTCATCTCTACTTAATTTCGGTATCTTCTCATTTATATATAGGCTACCCACCTCTGTCATATGAAAGAACGTAAAATAGCGCCCCCCCTCAATCTAAATAGAAATTACCCAAGCATACCATTATGAAAATTGACTTTTGACTCGGCAAAAATGATGGTCGGGTTTCAGTTATCACCCATCACTACTTAATAGTATAAAAAGTGATAGGCAAAATGCTCCTTAAGGATTATGAAACTTTGGACATTAAATATGAGTCTGGTCACCTGTTGCCAGGAGGAAGAGCTAGAATGAACACTATTGTAGTAGAGCTGGAAAGTATTTGGAATATAGAAGAAATAAAAGCTAGGCAGCAGTCCAAAGAGAGAAATATTAAGGGAGGGGATAGGAATACAGCCTATTTTCAGGACATAGCAAATCAAAGAACAGGAAGAAAAGAATTTCTTGTTTGGAAAGTAATTAAGGTTTGCTAGAGGATAACAAATTGATGTTGGACCATGCTGTTGATTTTTATAAAACCTGTTTGGTCTAGAGGAGAACTTTGGGCTGAAATTCAATGATAACTTTTGAAAAGAAGAGGATAAAGCGACTGATAGTGAGAATGAGCTTTTGGAAGTTCCTTTTACTGAAGAGGAAATTAAATTAGTTGTTTGTGACTCCTATGCCATGGGAGCCCCGGGACCAGGTAGTTTCTCTTTTATGTTCTATCAAACCTTTTGGGAGGTCATTAAGGGAGACTCAATGCACTTTGTAAGAGATTTTGAAGCTGGTAAGTTAAATTTATGGATAGGCTTAGCATGCTGTGATTATGTTGATTCCTAAGGAACCTGAGGTAAACACCTCAAGGAGTTTGGACCCATTAGTCTTATCAACTACAACTTTAAGATCTTTGCCAAGGCATTGAATAACAGACTTATCAAAGTAGCTGATAGGTTAATATCTGAAAATTAGACAACGTTCATAGAAGGTAGATTTATTCTTGAGAGTGTAGTGGCAGTACATGAAATTGTTCATGATATTCATAGAAATAAAGAAAGTGGTATTATCCTGAAGTTAGATTATGAGAAAGCTTATGATAGAGTCAGTTGGGATTTTGTTGAAGATATGCTTCAATCTAGAGGTT